TGAGTCGCACCTGCATTTCGGGTTTGGAGCCCTTCTTGTCAGGATTCCATCGGTAAACCTCGAATGTTTTGATTCGTTTACCAGTTGGCTTCGTTGAAGACAGTGCTGCACAACTTGCATACACGACCGACTGGCCTTGGACCAATGATAACGAGCGAGCCAACATTCTGGAATACGAAAGAGCTACTGAAGCCCACTGTAAAGAAGACAGCCAAGCGAAAATTGTGAACCGTTCAAAATCAAGTCTCAAAAAGTAGAAGTTGGCCCATAAAAGGATTGAGAAGTGTAAGATAGTGCGTTATAGGTTAACACAATAGAAGGAGTAAACTCTACAAAGTACATAAGAGGAAGTGAGATAACAGTGATCGGCAATCTAGCGCACAGAGAGCTTAAAGAACCTCCAAGAAAAGAGATCCCTCCAAGTTGCATGCAGCGAATGAGTAGGTAGGAGTTATTGCGACCGAAAATGATCTATTTGTGGAAATGGGCCAACCAGTGATGCGAAACGAAAAAAAAATGTTAAAAATCCTAAAAACGACACAGCGCACTGAACGTGTGAGCGAAATTTGCGATCGGTTTTTCTGGAACTCATTGGTTGGCTTAAACTCTCACCGTATCTTACCTCCTATTTGATTAAGAGCAGCCAACCAATTGCGGGTGGCCTCATGTTTCGCCCATATAATCATCGCGCTAAGGCCGATGTCAGACTTTGCGAATCGCGCGATTCGCTACTAGCGATTCGCGCGATTCGCTAGCGTCCGCGGTCGCGTTGCGGTACCAGCCAATTGAGTGATTCACTGGCCGCGACGCGACCGCAGACGCTAGCGAATCGCGCGATTCGCAAAGTCTGACATCGGCCTAAGTGATTTTTGTGGCTCTTAGCTATTTTTGCTTCTTCTCCCTACTGGTGACCTACCACGACTGTTCATTTTCGAGCGAAGTTCTCAACCTATTCACTCGCGGAATGTGCCTTTAAGTAGTTGTTTCGTGACTCTGAATGGAACTGACTCAAAACTTTTCGGTGGAGGCTGGCTTTATAACAGCCATCCTGCTATTCTTAACAATGAGTTACATATATTTCCCCATATTAACAAGCTATGAAATTTCTTCAAGAGCGTTTTTATAGTCGGTTGTACGATCGTAACGACCGTAACGTGCTAGATGCGTAACGATCGTCCAATCGTCCGACGATCAACGTGGATCTAATGCTGTGCGATGCTACGATCGACGACTGATAACAAAACACTATTCAAAGAAGAAATCATCTGAAAGATGACAGCACATTTTCGCTCTACCCGGTCAGCAGAATAATCGAAGTCGCCACGAAGTTTCGCAATGGAAAAAGGACAAGTCTGTCCGCCCCAGCGCGCGTTCTCTGCTCAGCGAATCACACAACAACTGTGACGTCAGAAGGAAGTAGGAACGCGAAAAATCATTGGAAAAAAAAGTAGCGAATCGAAATATGACATTAATAAATTCATACTACGAAGTTTATGAGATGCGACGAGCAACCATACAAATACAATATAAAGATCCAACGAGTTTATTCGAAGAGAGAACAGCTAATCGAGGAGGAAAATCGATTTCCTGGCGCGCCGTTGAGGACGAGGTTCAACGATAGAGAAAGATAACATTGGGGGCTTCCAACGAAGGGATGTTAAGAGACTATAAGCAAAAGAAATTCCGGAACGAAGCTGTTCTCATTGAACCTGAGGTATTTCTTATCCATTTTTTACGACATTTGTCTTATCGTCAGTGCATTACGATCATTCACAAGACATAGCATCACATGGAGCATAAGTCAGCCACCCGGGGAAAGGCCAGAGGGTTTGGTGGGAATTGGTGGAATTCAGCAGAATATTTCACAAGATAGGACAGGCTAGACATCCGTTGTGAGCGACGGCGCAGAGTACTTGCCCAACGGTGCTGCACTAAGCTAACCAATAACACGCTTCGTCGTCGCATGTTTTTCAGAAGGGTAAGTTCGAACTCTACACAAGCTATCCCTATAAACCAGGGCGGCTGGGAAAAGGTTCTCCTGCAAAGGCGAAAAAACGTTTTCGCAAGGTTCTTCTTTCCCGATATATTACCAGTAAAGCCGTCTCCGGTCTATTCTAATACAAGGAGGGAGAGATGATGATGTGATGAGGAAATTCATGCTGCTTACACTATATTTTCCTGGGAAGAAATCGTGAGGTGGGAAAACCATTTCGCTTGATTTCCTTCACGAACCCCGAAGTTTTTTTTTTTGAAAATTAGATGACCACAGAAGGTGACGTGGCAATTCGAGTTTTCACCACACCAAAGAGCGCTGCGGGTTACACGAACTTTTTGAAGACTTCCCCCTTCTCCTTCCCCTCATCCAGGCACGATTAATAGAAGACAATGAAATGCAGAACAGCTGCGCCTAAAAAGCATACGGGCGGGTTACTCAACGTCTTTCAACATTCTTTGCACCTGACCGAAGCTTGACAGATACATTCTAAGCTCAGATCTGTGTGTAAGAGCACTCTTGTCGGATGCGTAAGAGAGTTGAAATAAAGGAAAATCCCCAAAGTCTGAAATCTCTGATAGATGCCGACAACCGAACTAAAGCAAAAAGGGCAAAAATGAGTAATTTGTATCGAAAGCGTGTCAACTTGTCTAACATCGTGTCAAACATGCCGCGCAAGGAAGAGTCTACAAATTAGAGTACAAGAATACTACACGAAACTTGTCATTTTGGCTCCCTACCATGACCTACCTCCTAAAGCTTTAGCTGTGACACACCATACTAGTAACAAATCTCAAAAAAAAAAGACACAATCAATCACAGAAAAAAACTGAAGCGAAATGAAGCAAAGCCAAAAGCGCAACGGTGCGGTCACAATTAAAGGACGTGTAGCAAGGTTGATTGGAGCGTGGCTGCTCAATGGGCGACTGCAATGCTCCCCAGGACACTATTACATTATGAATCACGCCTTGTCGAACGGCCTACTTTTCAACACCATTTTCGACGCGTTTCCAGGTCACGATTCTAAAGATTTTGTTTTGCTTTCCAGCAGATTTTTTGGGCGCCTATCAGTAAGGGGCATCAAAGTGCTGCCGCTCACGCCCCGCACTCCCGGCCTCCTACACTGCCGACGACACTCCCCCTGTGCGCAACAGGTTGCTTGATGTATGGGAACCCCGCGTAAGGGGGGGTTGAGGACTTGCCACTTAACGTTGCATACGAATGGCCATCCGCCCCTTACTGGATAAAGACCCGTTCTATTCGGGCTCTGACTGATAAAATAAATATACCCTTTGCTTGGTAACAATGGTGCTGGAAGTTAACTTATGTTCCATCGGGCACAATCTTATTCTTTGTTGGCCGCTTTACCTCTCTAAATAAGCTTGATTCGCGTGCGCCACTTTCTTAAAACAACTTAATTCAGAGTGATGGTCAATGAAAACCCATAATCTCCATGATGGCCTCCTTCAAAGTGCACTTATTGTAATTCAATTCTTCGTTGTTGTCGGAACTGTGCTTGACAAAGCGCCTATCAATGCTGATCCATGGGACGTAGACGGCCCTTGTCAGGAGTATGTTGAGGTTTGTTGTTAGCTTGTACTTTTCTTTGGAACTTAGTCGATGTCAAGAACAAATGGCTGCGTCTGGATTGAGTACGCTCACTGGTCCTACCGTATTACTGGGAAACATGGCCATCTTCATCCCACATGACGCTTTCATAGTTGGTCGTGCGACTGCAGCGATCGCAATCATTAGATACGTCTCGATTGTCCGACCGTGATGTAGCGGGTGGATGACCTACTATGCGAGCGCATGAGTTGGGCACGATATAAAGCCGGCGACCATCTGATCATTAGATCAAGTCAGTTCTCACCGTCGTTCTTAAAGCCAATCTCTCCGATTTTGTGATTTGTTATAGCTGGCAAGAGCGCGATGGGTACATAGTTTACACACAGGGTATTCTGCTGCGATGATTTTGTGTCCCATTTTCGATAACTTAATTCCAGAAGTTAGCTGTTGTTCAAGCAAGGATGGTGCAATGTGCCACTAACTGGTCGATTCCGCCAAAGGTGTGCACCAATTGCTGGGAACATTATATAGCATTTAAACAATTCGAATACGAAACGAAACATTTGGTGAGTTGAAGTTTAAAAGAATGTTATAAATTTCGTAAATTTTGCGAAATCAATAGATCCCTGAAGCTCAATAGTCCCTTGTGGAGTGCAGGCCTGAAAGCGCTTTTCGTTCATTTTCCTCGCTTTTACCTCTAAAGAATATTCTGTTATTCTATAAGTTTCTGTCAGGTTTCCATTATCCATAATCTTTTCTTGTAATTCAATGTTCTATTTCAATGAAGTCACCAGGCACAGGCACGTTTTATGTTTTCGTGAAGAGGGGGGGGGGGGGACATTGTAATTGTGGTCCCGATTATATTCGTAGCTTCGGATAGAATTCAGAGCGTCTTAGTCCCTCATGATGTCGACTTTTGAGAGGTCCTTCGCCATGTTGTCCACTCAGTCTGCTGCAATTACGACAGGTTCGCCACGGGGTATGGAGTGTAACTCACGAACGCCCTGCTTGTGACCTCTAATGCATGCAAATCGTGCTGTGCACAGTTCGTTTATAGTATTGTTTTTCAGAATAATATTTCTTCGCTCGATAACCGGACATGCACTCAAGTGATATATGATAATTACCTCTTGTCTTATAGTAACGATATATCGCTCGCTTTGAGTTCGAATATTTGGGGTCAATCCAGATGTGATTGTGAGTTTTTCGTACTCCCAAGATTGCGTAGGTTGTGCAGTTTCTGAGTGATGACTTCAAATTTCAGCTTGCTTAACGATCACGTGGAATTTTACCGCAAACGACTCGAGGGTGGAATTCGCCAATCAGACTGTGCTTTTCCAAGTTTGTCCTATCTATACATTCGCTCACTTATTTTAATTGCTTCCTTAGCGAAACTGATATCGATCTGAGTGTAAACGCCTCGGTTGGGCCAGATCAGAACCTTCGGCGACTGGTTCACTAATAGCGTATCTGATGGTTGGGCTATCTCGCCATATCCTTAGCACTTCAGCTTTAGTGCGATGGTGGTCTTATTACAATCGACTGATTGAATAAGGACTTTATGCAGCAGATCAGAAAGTTCACTGGGAGAGAACCTACGTCGAGGATCGTTTCTTGTGGGAGAACGGTCCCATTCCTTTTTGAATTTAGTTATAATTGGCTCACATCAACTGCCAAATTTCCTTGACAACCTCATCTGTTCTGTTATCATTCCGTATCCATATAGCGCTACTAAGAGTGGGCGAGCTCTAATTCCTCCTGACACAAAACTTTAAACCCAAATGTGTGCAAGGTTTCAGGTTCAAAAGTAGATTAGTCGGTTCAGGATACTTCATTTCAGGAAAAGTTATTTATATGGCGAGATTGCGTAGCAAATTATACGGAGTACAATGACGATTTGTTCCAAAATGGAACCATTTGCGGATATTGTAAAAAGCAGTTCAACGATTTGTTTTCCTATTATTGGGACATCTATGTCAAACCTGGAATTGATTTCTGCGTGGACGTTGAAACTACGGTAAGCTGTATTTCGTATTCATGCATCTTTTACTGGCAGTAATCGAGGTGCTGAAAGGTGATAGCTGAAATTGCCCTTTAACTTTGAATTGGTGATTTCTGGCAAAATTTCGATTTTTTTCTTTCCAATACGCGTAAAGCACCACCTGAATTTATTTCATTCTTCCTCCTATGACCGATTTGCCTCAAGTGAGCATTTTTGAACGACATTATTGTCACATGTAGACGTTTACCCTCTCATCTAAAGTGAATTCAGTGGCTTTAGATGAATGATACGATACATTTGTGGAATGATGTGTGGTACTGCTCTGAGAAGAAGGACCGTAACAGGGACACCGCCATGGTTTTTGTAACTATGGGAGTGTTGCTAGTCATCACTTGTTTGTTCTACGCGAGCAGTTATATACAAGGTGGTGGACAACCGAGAATCTTGATTAGATGTGAGTTTGAGTTTTATATTTTCTGAAATCGTCCCATGTTTTTATCGTTGAGTCGTCCTTAGAAGGACCAAACTGAAGTAGGCCTTAGACGTGGTTGTCGTTCAGGACGTCGACATTGCAGTCACGCGACAAAAGCGGTGTCGCAAATAGTATCGCGTGCGGCAGCGAAAAGGAGCCTTCATTCTGATGTCTTAGGTCCCGTTCATAGATCGCGATGAATGCGATTTGGCGACTTAGCTGTTATGTTAATAGAATGTATGCGTATCGACTGAAGGACTGTCGGCATGTCACATCGTCGAACGGCTATTGGGTGGGGTCAGTTCGATCAATGTGCACCTAGTCCTTTGAGCGTAATCGCCCTATCGCTCAATCGCACTGATCGTGATCTATGAACGGTACCCTAGTTTTCGCGCTGCGCCTTGGCGTGGAGCTCCTTATTCTCACGCTTCTAGGCATTTGGTATGTAAGAAGGGCACGCAATGGTTGAGATGAAGTAAGTGGTGGGGGGAGGGTATGAGTGGAATTTCTCTCTTGGCCCTGATCCGAGGCAATGAGTGATGACCCGGTGTGGTCATAAATACCATTTTTTGCTTTGAGGAATGTCTCGTGTAGATGTTTTTGTGGTTTGACATTGCTCGAGTTCTTTAGATTCGCGCCTGGCTCCCGAGGAACAACGCTCCAGATTGTTGTCTTCGTCGACATCAGATAATAATCTCTCTTTCATGAATTCACTCCCGCATTCGTTCTAAATGCCTGTTGTTCGTACGGTATTTTGTATTTTTCACTTTATACCGATTCTTGTTTCCGAATCACCTCACATTTTCACATGTTTATAACACCTTCTGAGTTTTGACGTTTCCATCGCTTGCCGTTGGGCTATACTTGTGATATTGAACGGGCTGTGCAGTTATTTGTTATGTTAATGTTGAGCTAGAATGCTAGTTTAGACTGTTAATTTGTGAATATTGATTCATACCACTGGGTAGCATCAAGAAAGCTGAATGAAGATTAGCTGATGTCAAAGAAAATTGCATACATCTGAGCTCATAGTTTCTACCCTTCTTTCATGCCCTGCGGGAAGACTTGTCGCTAATTGACAAGCGTTTTTCATTTTGCAATTCAATTACCGATGAGTCAATTGGTAACGAATTCCCAACGCCGTTTTTCATTTTGCGCCAACTTCAAATACCGATATCCAATGGTAAACGAAATTCCCTGGAGAACGTTCTCTTTCCAAAACCACTTTTCTACTTTTTCTTTTCAGAATAATATCAGGATTAAAAAAGTCTTAAAAGTGACTTACGCATTGAAAATGCGCGATGCAAAAAGCATTAATAATCAGATTTTGAATGTCTGAATAGAAATGTGACAAAGCTGCCGCCGGCCGGGACTCGGCACTTTCTTACGGACGCACCTGTTCGCGCTATGCTGTTAGTAGAGGGCGAGAGAGCAGATGTAATTGGATCAAGCCGACCGGCATCCATCTCATCCACTATCCACCTGTTTGCTCATAGTGGGAACTAGGGCTGCCATTCTCACAGCTGGAGACAACCCTTTTCTCCTAATGTGCTCGCATTTAGTACTATGTTGTCCTTATGGACTCCCAGGACGAAGGCCTAACCAAGGTTTCAGTTGTTGACGGCCGTTTTATTGCGCCCTTTTCAAAAACAACCCTATTATTACATGTTGAATCTTTTGTCTAGGTTCTTCTTCATAATCCTCATTTCAATAATTACCAACTATACATTTATAGATTTCGGCAATGCTTTTTTATTTATTTTTTCACTTTTTCTTCACAATTAGTATTGTGCAATCATCGTAAATTTACTATTATTCATTCCAATTTTTATAATTTCCGGCTTCATTTTCAATTTTCCTATCCTTACTTTCGTCCAAATCTTTTTAATTCATTTTATCCATAGGCTTGTTAACCCCAAAAGCGGACGCTTTTCTCGATCCCCCACGACCTAAATCTGACCGTTTAGCAGGTACAATCTAACATCCCTTGCGCGATGCTGGACACATGACCAATTATGCTTGGAAATTCGAACAGGTTCGCTAGTGGATTCGGGCAACCGTGGTTAATGAGCACTGGAAAGCTGGCGCAAAATGTGATTTTCGGAAGGTTCGCGGCAAAAGTATTAGTGGCCAAGCGCCCCTGACTTACAACACGCGCGTCCAGCACCGCAATCGTGCACCGTCCGGGCCAACCAAACCTCCCATTCCTCCGGGGTCGGTTAACTGGGAGAACTGTCTGGAGGATAAAAACACTGACTTGTACATCGGCTGGCCCCCGCAAGTCATTGTATAGGCCACATCGCATTCAAATGCCACTACGAATGTACAAATGGAAGTAGAATGCGTGCCGCATCCCAAAAAGGGATTGATCAACGGCAAATGCTTTATCCTTTTATCCTTGCGGATAAGGATGGATTGAGTTCACGCAGTTAAGGTTATTTCAGGAGAAATTTAGAAAGGACCACGGTGGTCATCTTTATCAAAGTGTAGGTCGAGGGTTGTACTGGACCTTCCGCATTTGGGGTACGTACCAGCCCTACTTTATCCAGTGGTTGACTTGGGCTGGACGATTTGGAAAGCATGGTCGTGGTTGAAGCGTTCATCAATGAGATCACGGCAGCGTGCATTACTATCGGTTTTCCTGCGGCAAGTGTTGCATTTCGGCGGGCAAAAACACAATGTGATTTCGTCTTCAAGGGCTAGTTTCCTCGATTTTTGCATGGTTCGGTCAAACTTGTTTAAGCGCTGCCAAAATGATCTCAATCTGGTTCCCTATATCTTGAGCTTTTCCTCGAAAAAACTGCTTCTGCTTAGATTACTGATTTCAAACTTGGGCTCTCTTTGGGCAGAACTCATTTATATTTGCATATGGTCTTATAAGTAATTTCGTTTTTTGGGATTTTTAGGATTACCAACTCTCTCGTGTCAAGCTTCTAATTTCGAGCAAACTATTCTATGGCCTTCTTATTTTCTCGTAGTTGGTAGACTGCCGCGTTTATAAACGTATCTTCTACCCTGGCCTTTCTTGGCTCCTAGACGGGTTGCATGAGGGTGAAGGGGTGCAACGGCAAGTGGTATCTTTGACTTTCTAAGCGGTTCGCGGGTTACATCCAGGGCCCAATTTCCAACAAAGCCAACTATGCCTCCCATCTCCCCGGTCGGAGCCTTGGTACCACTAGTTTGGGAAGATAAACACATCGACTTGTACATTGGCTTACTCCGCAAGTCACTGTATAGGTCAAATCGCATTCAAATACGCTACGATTCTGATTGGAATCAAAGTGCGTGGCGCGTCCAAAAAGGAGTCTGGTCAACGCGAAGGCTCTACCCTTCACTCAGCAACCGCGAAGTAATTACGACGGTAGCAGAAGTGCCTAAAATACCCAATAATAACTTAAATGCCGGTGCTAAATGACCAAACCGAAGGAATGTGCTCCTAGTAGTTACGTTGCCCTCAATCGCCACCCTATGGTGAGATTTCAAGGCCAACGGCACGAAAGATCAGATCAGCTCATGTGTGAACAGACCACCTACTAATTAGTTCTCTCACTTTGTGATGCATTTACACTTCTGGCTCGCACCTTTTCTGTGTCGTTAAAAACATGAATATGGATTCTGCGCGCGTCAATCGATAACTACATGTTTTCCACATGCCTAGTCTGAGGGCGGTTTTACGTGTGTACAAGCAATTTTCTCTGATTGTGAGTGTCATTCTCTTGTGAATTTTTCTTTCTCATGACCATTTCATTTCCTTGAGGACTACGCAAGTCATAGTAGAGGCTAAGTGGCATTCAACTTTCACTACGATCCTGAATGGATTCAGAATGCGTGGCGCATTCAAAAGGGACTGTTTGACGCTGGATGTCTTATTCCTTTGAAGGTGGATCCCACGATGAAAACGTAGCCTATTACAAGAAGGTAGAGGTGTGGCATAGGATAAAGAAAAAACCGTCAGAAACGACCCAATTCTCTGCAAAATGGGACCCCTTTTCGCCTGTTGATCCGCTTTGTGCGACCTCCATCGGTGCTGCCTCGTCAACGCTAACAGCTAATTATCTGCTATCACACGGCTATAGTCAGACAACGACGAAGGCGGGAACGCTTTAGCGGCGCGGGTTTGCTAGGCCGCTGGGACATACTTGCTTGACCGCATCGTCACACCCCTGGGATCCGCCTGCCTTTGACAAGGTATATTTTCCTTCCTCGACCATCGACCGTGTCTTACAGAATACCTTCGTCTAACGAAAAGATAGCAATAAAATAAAATGTGAGTAAGTCAAGGAAAGGATCGATAGTTTAGATGTACGTTGCAAATATAATTACCATGTTAAAAAACGCTGAAGTTTAATCGACCGACATTTCGTCAATGCGAGAAGAACGCACCCTTGAAAGTGTAATTGGCGAGCGAAGAATTCCTTCATTATGCATCACCACACAGTCTCCCAGGAGACGCGAGCGCGAGAGCCACTTGCAGAAGCACATTCGATCCGCGCTGCCCTGTCTGTATTACTAAAGAACTCAACCAATTTTAAGTACATTTTTTGTGATCTTTCTATAATACGACTTAGCTTGGACAGTTGCAAGGTTTTCCTCTATCGTTTAATTGATCCCGTATGTCGAGTGGTTTAGGCGCGGCTCGTAAGCGCGTAACGCTATTTCGTTGTACGATTCATTTTCTCGGCATCTCACTTCTCACGCAGGCTGCAAGCGACAGCTTTGTATAAAGGTTTTGATTTTTGTCATCAAAAGCCCTACAGATTTTCTCATATATCAGTGTTAATGCGTTGGCAAGAGGTTTGCGTCAGTTTTTCGTGTCCATCCATTTCAAAGCGAATTTCCGAAGGACCAGACAAAGCATGGCGTGGAGCCATGGGTTTCCAGGGGAAAATGCCAGGGTTTTTATATCCAAAACTCAGGAAGATTCTGTCAAAACTTTGCAAAGTATTTTGGAAAATTTTAAAGAATTATATGTTTGTTTCTTTTCTCTCGAGGTTTCTTTTTCCTTTTTTAGTGTTTCAGTTTTTCTGAAATATCCCCCCTCCCCCAGTCCTGGGGTTTCCAACCCTTATACGCTATGTTGTGAATCTGCTTCATGCACCTTTTTTGCGAATTTCAGTATCGTCACGGGTTCCAACGGAAAATTGATCTGGCCAATTTCCATAGCACTTTCGGGTTGGGCTAGAAAGCGTTTTAAGGAAAGACAAAGCCGATGGATAGATGGATGGAAAAGCATGTCATCGTTTATGAATCGACGCAGACAGCAGCCACCAGCCCGGCTGGAGCCCTGCCCAGCTGCATAGACGAGACGTCCGAAATGTTGATAAATTGCGTGGAGCCGGAGCTGAATAACCTGTGACAAAAACGTCTTAGTCACATCTCTGAAGACACGTTGGCTAAGCCAACGGGCCTTTCCCCGTCTCGTCCCGCAATGGCAACAATTCCGCTCGAATTTGTCGCTGCTTTGTAATGTTTCAGAATAATTTTGAAACGTTTTTTCATTCCTTTTATGCACAAATGAATGCCTTAGCTTCCATTTTGGACTGGTCATCCTTTCTTTCCTCCCTTTTTTCCTATTCTATCCCTCTTTCCTATTGTCGTTGTTGTATTGGCCTTTATATTAGGTACCTCTTTCTTTTCATCTCCCATGATTCGTCTTCATTCTTTTCCAATGAACGATTTCGCCAAAGTTTTCAGCGCCGATCAATTCCTATTAGGATGCGCCACGCACTCC